CGTAGTAAAATATTGGGCTGTGACAGTTTTCGTGTGGAGTGCTAGAATTCCCGCGTCCTTCGGTGACTTATCAGAACTTTATTTTTTTTAAAATCCATCGTTACAAATGAGATAGACGTTCGAATAGAAAACAACTCCTAATGATACTTCGAGCAGCATCAAAACCATAATCCAAATGTACTCGAGTTTAAGGAGAATGCCTACTAAGGCAAACCAAGTAAGTGGTCTTGCTATCGGTTCAATTAAAAGTCTATGTTTGTATGATGACACGTTTCTTGTGGTTCTACACGCGTTATATGTTTTATATGTGTGAAATGTTTATGGAACAATGTGACTGTGGTGTATGTATGAAATGATTTGACTAAGATATCTTTATGAAATGATATGACTAGGTTATGTTTATGAAATGATATGATCAGGATATGTTGAGAAAACGATACGACTAGGATATGTTTATGAAATAATATGGCTAGAATATGTTTATGAAACGACGAGACTAGGATACATTTAGGAAACGACATGATAAGGATATCTTTATGAAACAATATGACTATGATATGTGTATGAAATGATATGACTAATATATGTTTACAAAACGAAATATGTCTATGAAATGATATGACAAGAATATGTTTATGAAATGATATTTCTATGATACGTTTATGAAATGATATGACCATGATATGTTTATGAAAGAATATGACTAGGCTATGTTTATGAAATGATATGACTATGACGTGTTTACAAAACAATATGACTATGATATGTTTACAAGATGATAAGTCCATGATATTTCTGTGATACAACGTGACTATGAGATGATACGTGAATGTTATGCCACGTGTTATGATGATGTACTGATGATATGATAAATGTTATGGTATAACACGTTTGCCGATATAGTACATGATATTACATTATAGGCTGAAGATATGATATATGTATGATATAACATAATATGATACGATGCATGATATTAATTATGTACAACAAAATGTGTCGACATAATGCACAACCCCAATTTATGTAAGGAAAGCTATGATGAGTATGATATGATATAAAGGAAAAATTGAAGGGGTTGTCTTATATAATAAGAGAGGGGGTGTCCGACATCAACAGCTCCATAGAATGCTCGCCCAACCACGAAAGGGGTCCAAAAGATGTGCGAACCGACTGGTGGGTTCATACTCGCAAGTGTGGACTGTACGTAAAACATTAAATACACATCCAATTATCCTGCTTAGTTTAGTTGACTAAGGAATATATAGTGATATGATAGGCCCCACACATAATTGTAAATGTTTGCATCTAACCTCAATTTTTGAGTCATTTCTGAGTATTTCTTAAAATACTCAAGTCACGTGCTACTTCTATTTCAAGTAAAGGCAAGACACTCCTGCAGGACAAATGACGACATCCCAATTTGAGACCATGGCACATGCATAGGGTAGTTGTATTTATTTTTTTAGAGTTACATTAGAATATGGTGTTTTTAATTTTAATACTTATTTATTTCATTTAGTATTTTGTTGTGTCGTCTTAAAGATATTTTGACCACTTAATTCCATGTAAGTGTTTTAAGATGAAGTATATGTTTTATGATGAAGTTTAAACACTCATTTTCGTACAAATGATCATGTTATGATGACGGTAGGGATTCGAGATAAGTAGAAATTTAGGGTCGTTACAGTTTTCTTTTTGGAATTGAATGATAGGTTCCTATATTAGAAGTTTATGTCACATAAGCACAAATTCAATTAAGTAATGGATAAAGAGGTCAAAGATTTAAACGTTGTACTCTATTTTTTTTTTTTTTTAACAAAAAAAAATCAATATAAAAATTAAGAGTATATGAAGTTGTAATAAACCATTAAACATTAAAAAATTCTTTAACTTTTGAAATTAAAGTATTAAACTTCTAATTAAACATTCATACTATAATTAATTTTCTTCTAAGAAGTTGAATATCGATAATAATTTATTTTCCGTGGCATATTATGCTTTCAATGGTTGTGATAAGGCAACAGTAATCGTCAGCCCAACGATCCAAGCTCTTGTTGAAGCAAGAACCATTAAATCAAAGAAATTAACACCTCGTTATACAATATTCAGATCAACCAAGAGATAAGGCTAGAATTAGATTACCTCATCAAAGATCTAGAAACCACATTTGGAATTTTTTCTAAATTAAGTCACTCCACCGTAGAACTTGATCCAAGCTTGATTGAATGACTCAGATGCAATCTACGACAAGAATTCCATGAAACTCAGAAAGAAACAAGATGATTCTCGGATTTCTAAGGGGGAATATCTTAACTTGAGAGATCAATTTCATTCATCTCAAAATCTTATTTTTAGATAATAATTTGTGGGTATTTATACTCTCCCCACAAGTTAGTGGTCATGATTTATTCTCGATCTTCTTAAATCTAACAAAAGAGGAAGTCAATTTGACCCTTCCAAACTTTATGAAATTAAAAATAATAATTAAAATTTTCTACCAACTCATGGAGTGATGCTTGCAACTTCGTCCGCTACTTTAACCGTGCAAATATTCACTTTCTGAAGCTCCAAATGATCCTTCCTCAATCAAATCAGCTTGTAATACCTAAAATGATGATTGAACCAAGCTGATCAAATTTTGTAGATGAAGAATGAATGCTTCTTGAATCTTCTTGGCCTTGGATCGTGTAATAGGTCCAGTTGGAATATTTGGAACACCGTGCTTCTTATCATCTTCCCCATCTTCAAAAGGATTCTTCCTTGAATCAGAAAAATCATCACCAACATTAAAAAGACTCAAGTCAGCAACATTAAAAGTAGAACGTACTAAAAATTCTCAGGAAAGTTCAATTTTATATGCATTGTTATTAATTCTCTCAAGGACTTGATAAGAGTCATCCCCTCTCGGATGTAACTTTGTTTTCCTTTTAGATAGGATGGCTACTTGCAAAAATGTATCAATATAGCC